CTTGATAAGAATCAAGGATGACTGGGAAGCGCTTTGTGAGCAGCGGGGAGCTTAGCAGATTTACAAGCTCCAAGCTCTGCCCCACCTTATCGATCACAAGCAATTTTACCTAGCACACTAAAATGATCGCAAATTTGAAGGGTCAAAACTAATTGTGAACACGGAGAGGACTAAACAGCGCCCGTGCGTTTTGAAATATTGAAAAGGATTGATTAATACAGGCAGTGCAACAATTTTTGGAACGCGAGACGTCTCAAAATACAAACTTGCTCAATGCTGGTACTAAGATTGTACGCCTAAGTGCACATGATACGAATGAGATCAAGTAAATGCACCGACAATTTACTACATCTTTGAGAGATGGGTCTTTTGCTTAACGAACGTAACAATTAATTAAATTTTCTAAAAATCTCTTTTAAGGAAACAATGTCAGAGTGACGTCTGCAAAAGCAGTAAAAAATATTTTCATCTTCAAATTTATTTTACTAATTCATCCCTTTTTTAGAAGAAAGTATCACAAGGATAAAAGAAAATAGCATCATTTAACTTTTCATTATTTTTAATAAATGTTTTTATAATTTGGTGTTCAGTGGGAAATATTAATGTAATATTGATCACGCTTTGATAATCAAACCATTTCTCCTCTTTACACCAAACTAATTTCATTCTGTAATTGTTGTGTATCATAAACCTAAGGTCTTTGTAATAGGTAAACTGTTATTTTTTCAACAAAATCTGAGAATGATGCTAATTACTAGGGAGCGGATTTCCATGATTTTACATATTTTTGTCCGTTGCTTCAGGGCATAGCTAAGTGAAATTTCTTGGCATTTCTTTACAATTGGATGCCATGTAGATTAATATGTTAGTGTATATTTGCCCTATTTTTCCTGTTGGTGCATATTCGCGTAATTATAAGAGGATATTTTGCATATTTCGTCAAAATAGAGAAATCCTTTCATGTTTTCATAGAATAGATTTATTTTCGAGAGTTCATTGGTTAGAATAGCTTGCCATGATCACCTTTTTTTCTCTTTTGTGTAGATGATAAAATACTTGTGCAAATGTACATTTTTAAACCAAACACAAAAAGTGAAAGAAGACCTACAAGGTACTTCATTAAGGTGCATAATTACTTCAATTATTTCTCCGAGAAGTAAGATAGGCACAAAAACATTTTTCATTCCAAGCAAGCTTCTCCTGAATGTTATCGAGAAAATCAAATATTGTTAATTCTAATTGCATATTAAAGTGAATGTTTCATATTTTTTAGGTCATAAAGAAACATTTTTAAATGGATACTTCAAGATTTTTAGGGCATAAAAATCGTCTCTCTACTAATAAAAATGCCCTTTCAGGGGATCCAATATGGAGAAACTGATGATTTTTGTTGGGGGAAATGGATGAACAATGCCTGGTGGACCCACCGCATTCCTGTGCTATCGAGCGACGCCGTCGAGGGTGGAAGGGGAGTGGAGCGCCGGGTGCCGGGTGGTACCGCCAACGCTCTCAACCCGCGCTCTTCCTGCCGCACTTGCCTTCAAACGCTACGGGCAGCGCGCGCCGCACCGCGGATCTTTCTTCAACTACCACGACAGACCTCAAAACCTTCTAGTTGTCAAAGTTACCGATAGATGCCCTACAGTGATCATTAAGTGGCGGGAGATTGAAACGTCTCGAACATTTTTTGTCTTTTCTACTTCCAGTATTTCCAGTCATTACAATGATTGAAGACCTGTATTTAAAACATTTAAACAGAGTTTATAGTGTATTTAAATTCGAAGTTACATGTTTTAAGCTGTTTTGAAGAATACAAATTCCTAATAGCTGCAACTTTTTTTATAGAAGTGTAACGAAAATGTAAAAACAAATCAAATTTGTTTACAACATGGATAATTTTTATGACCATATATATAACGAAGGCTGGGTCATGGGGGTTGGTCAGTGGGAAGAATTAGACTGTATAGCAGTGAGTCAAAAATAATTTTGAAATTTTGCCAAAAATATATTTCTATCAGGTCTTGCAAGGAAGCCCAAAACAGAAAACATCAAAGAACCTGCAAGAACATTTAGCTTCAGTTCTTTGTTGGTTTATGTCTTATGGTTGCAAACCCTGATAATGGAAATACATTTTCGGAAACGTTGGCAAAGGATTATATCGTCCAATTCTTTCCATTGACCAAGTGTTATGACGTAGCCTTCAAAGTTTTTTGATTAATATTATTTTAGCAGTATAACGCAGAACAAGAAATAATCTATATACAATTGTATTGAAACAGATTACGTTGCCATTAGTACTTACTTTATTCACATTATTGCATTTTAATGTCTATATTCGGATGATACATTAATCATCAAGAAATGTATTAAATCTTAACTTTTAAGAAATGTGGGAAACAATGTTTTCACTTTCGTCCTAAAAACACTACTACTCTTACTTAACACATACACACATATTACAAAAAATAAATTGAACTGTATAATCTTCTTCAATGTCATTTCAGTAATATAGATTGTGGCGCTCACAGGCAACCAATCTTTACAAACGAGGTCTTTAAAGAAACAATTTTACGGAGGCTTGACGAATTGCACTTTAACTTTAAAAATATAAAGGATTTCTTGAGTGTTTAAATATTTATGTCAAATGCAGCCCGCAACACGTAGGCGGTGTTTGTGGAATGAATATAGTTATATATCTCCAAAACAAACCGTTCTAGAGCCTTAAAACCAGAAATTTTGGAGGCCTCAAACAAACTTTCCTTACATCGTAATCGAGAGGATGAGATCATCTTGAACATTCTATTGCGTTTTTGCTCGTTCGTGATTCTCGACACATTATTGTATTACAATTGCTTTTTATAACACTCCCAAGAGTTAGATTATTATCCTATATTTATGAATAAAATTTTTATCCTATATTTTTGCACATAGCTTTGTAAGAGTAAACAGATTTTCCAATATATTTTTATGACAATCAAGGAAAGTGAAAAGCAAATTCAAGCGTTGTTTTTAAGAAAGAGTGGCGATGTGTTCCAAGAGCATCTGTCTATAATTCTGAGTAAGCAATCTGAATCTCAAAATTTGATTCAAATATCTATTGCATTGTTTTTATTTTTATTTGATATTCAGTAAGTACATTGGATGACACATATAAACAGTTTTTATAGAAATAAACGTGTTTCGTGAACAACTTTTACCCTCAATATGGAAATGGAAGAATAGGGAAGAAGGTGACGTTTAACACGGGAAAGTTCCCGGCTTGTGTATTAGTTATTGTTCATGTAAGTTGTAGGTAGGTAGGTGTGTGTGTGTGTGTGTGTGTGTGTGTGTGTGTGTGTGTGTGTGTGTGTGTGTGTGTGTGTGTGCGTGTGAGTAAGGGGAGAGGATTCAAGGAAGGGGAAGAATGATCGTGCGCGGTCCATGGCACGTTTATTAGAATTATGCTCCGGTATTCACCTGGTATTGATCTGAGAAGTCACGGACAACCACTGAATTCTCCTCCAGACGCGATTGAATTCCACCTAGCTATCGACATAGGTTGTCTCGGCTGCTGGACTAACTTAGGACCTCCCGGTCACAGGCTGTTCTGACATCAATTGATACCCTGAGCAACCTCTCCCGGTATGTTAAGCATTGCGAATAATGAAAATGTATAACACGAGATTCAAACATGTGGTGGCACTGCCAACGAAACGATACGTGTTTACTTGAAATATTGTGAAAGTAGTGATTTTGATAAATTAAAATAACAGAATAAAATATTACAAGCGCAAGGATTAAAAAAATTGATTTACAAAAATATAGGAGAGTTAAAAGAAATTATGAAGAAATAAAGGCATGAACAAAAAAATCCTAAATGAAGGACAGAAATAAAACGTTTGAAATTAGATTATTCAATATTATGAAATTATATAGCCGCAGTCCCAAACCTAGACCCGCGATAGAAATCGCTAGAAAAAAATATACTGACTATGATGAAACAAATTTAACTCTCACATTGTAACGGACATTGACGAAACAACTATAATTGTCAATCAATTAATAACTGATAAAATGTGTTTTTATACAAATAGTACATTATATTTTACTGGTAAATACTTCAAAAAATATAGCTCACAAAACAATCAAATTATAGACTGAAACACATTCTCAGAGGTATATGCCTCTGATCAGATTATAGCCATGTTTCAGCTAAATGAGAATTTTTTTAGATGAACCCCTTTTTCTTGAACCCTTGGTGGCTCGTTGGTTAGCGTTGGCTCGCTTTCGACGGCGTAACTCCAGGTTCGATTCGCGGTCATGGCAAAAAAATAATTGTGGGCGTGCGTTGCAATGTCCCAGTATCTGTAGCTCTGCTCACGTCTCAGCTTGAGAATACAGCATAGGGTTGGCTACGTGCTTAGCACACGTACCCGGTAACCCGACAAGGCCAGCACGCTGCTGATAGGTCTTAAGTCTGTTTTACACGATCATTTTTTCATCACTTTTCGCCGGAACAGAAAAGACACTGACCAGACTGGATGTAATTTCTACGAAAAAATTTCATCCAGTTTCACTACCGCGCTCCTGGCGTCTTGACCTGAACCTTTCTCTGGTTTGTCATGCATTTGGAGCGATTTGTTCATTTTGAAGTTTCGAGAGCGTTTTGATGTGTTGGGGATGTGATTATGTAGAAAGAAATAATTCATGTACTGTGTTCTAATGTCAACGAGTTCCCTGCTCAGTCCATATAACGTAACTTAATTTGTTCAAATGTTCAAATGTTTGATCTTCACCGCTTTTTATGGCTCCAGAGGAAGTATTTTCACAACGATTACGTACAAAGACCAGAAATGATCTTGTAAAACGCTGGAATGACTTTCGTCTAGTTTCGGCACCGAAACATAACGCGTAGAAACGAACGTCCCTTTCCATCCACTTTTTGTACAGAAAAATAAAAAAAGGATCTGTCGTGCCGCAGTCCGTTCCGGTGCGCTGAACCGAAGTGTGCTGCTACTCACCGAGTGGTAGCAGCGCAGGGCCTTGGCGTAGTTGCCGGCCTTGACGTGGCCCAGCGCCTCGTCGCAGTGCAGCTTCGCCTCCGCCGCCGCGCTCCGCTGCGACCGCCGCCCTTTCTTCGCGCCCTTGCCACAGCGCCCGCCGCGCCCCGTCATGGCGCCAGCGCTGCCGGCAACAAACAACGCTTTCAGCGAAATCACGAACTGAGGGAAGAACGTTCAGAAAATGTTACAGATTTGATAAAATTACAGAACCAACACGTTTTCCAATTACTTCACTATTTCCCAGATAAGACTTTATTTGAATCTTGTTCGATCACACACATTTCAGCGAAGAATTAAATCTCGATTCCCCAAAGACCGATTCAGACCTCCAAAGATTTATTTCTTTCCCGTACACACTACTGCCTTGAATATATCTCGCTGGATAGTTTCAATACAGTATGTGCCTAAGAAAAGCTTCACATTTACAGCCGGGTAAGAGATTTATTTGCCTATGCCGTAAAAGCAAGTACAGTAAATCTAACACAACATATAGATTCTAAATGAAACTAAATATTTGCCACGCTAGAAACTGAAAGTGTATGTTGAACCTTATAGGTTCATCCGACTAGCGGATGTACGGACAACTTCACTCACTTTTGTTTCATAGTTTGCAATCACTGTGATAGCGATACGGAAATGCTTCATAACGAAGTGAATGGCGAACTAAGTACGTTTAAGTCAGAAGCAGATGTGCTAAACATATTCGCCTGTGAAGTGACAACGGGGTCAGGAATCGCAACCTCATAGAAAGAAGTAATACTTTACGTGATGCATAAACTACTATTTATGTTAGGAATTCTAGTGCTTAAGAGATCAAAAGAGATTAATATGAACTAAAACTAATTCACACACTTCATTTGACAGTATCTAACTCATTTCCGTTTATCTCTAAGGCATTTCAGAAGTTCTAGCAAGGGTTAGCGCAACCTCAACCTCGCTCTGTTCGGATCATGGACTGGCGATCTCATTGCTAGAGCAGGGAAGTTCTTTGCCATCTGATCGGCTGCGTTTGCAATCTGGACTGTTCCGGAGGCAAATGGAGTAGCTGCGATTGAGTGCGGAAGAGCTGATTGCTGCTAGCGTGTAGGGGGCGCTGGCGGTCGCCGGAAATAGAAACGCGCGGACGAGCAAGGCGCAAGCTAGGAACACGCACTCGGTACTCCCATATTACTAATTTCCAATGTGCGCAGAATGCAAAGAAACCATCCAGCCACCGGTCGCGTAAGAGGCATCTAGGATTTCGATGCCCAGAAACTCGGGAAAATCCTAAAATAATGAATGATTTCTATATGGACCGAAAAACACAAACATTTGATTGCGTTATTCCGCCTATTCTCAACTGCACCTCCGAATGAAATTCTCATGCGTCGACTAAATAAAATTGTAAGAATCCGAAATTGTAAACATTTCCGAAATTCATGGCAAGAATGAGTAACTCCATATTGTCATATTATTTCATCAGTGCCGACGTTACCTAGTTTCCTGAGATACTTCTGTTACATTTCTGAATTTTTTATAACGGAAAACATGTTACAAACATTGAAAATAGGATTGTACATAACAGACTTAAGAGAATTTCTGCATTTGCCTGTGTGTAAGACGCACCAGTGTATATGACGCTCCCCTATTTTCAAGAAGGATTTCATTCTTTACTTCTTAAATTCTATACTTGATTTTCTATTTTTATGAAAGGAATGGGAATTGTGATATGTGAAAAGAAATGATATTTTTTCTTCATAATTCGCCAGGAGCCTTTATGATAATTTTCCACCACGCTTAGAAAGACCGCCCGTTTTCATAAATCTTCTACGCCATGACGTTGACCCAAAGAAATTTGCAGCATTATTTTTTTCTTGCAATACTTTTAGCTTCTGTAATAGTCAATTTTGTAGAAATACAAATTCCTGATTTTCATTGTACAAAAGTTTAATTTTTGTAATTCTGTATACTAAGCATTCAAACGGTTACAAAACTTCCCATCCGTTGTATGCATCCTGTTTTTTCACAAGTTCCTGAAGGAAAAAAGTGCTTCTTATTTACCGGCAAAAACGGTATTCTAATTTAATTAAGATCACCCTCTTTTCAAATTGACGAAAACGCTTAAAAACTGGTTGAAGTACAGCGTTGTTGGATGTTAATTGTACACACTGAAAATTTGTTAGTATAAATATATCAAATTATCTTACATGGAATGAATTGACCGAGGTGTTAAATTAATTCTGAATTTGTTTTCTGTAGTATTCCAATTAAATATTATTCGTGCTTTGGCAATTCTAAAATATTTTCCAAAGTTCTTGTTACTCATTAAACAATTTCCCTGGCTTTTCATAAGTTGAATAATCCAAGAACGTGTTCATCCCTTGATCACGGAATGCAAACATTCTAAAAAGAATTTCAACTCCACCAAATCATCAATAACCCCAAATTACAAGAAATAAAATAAAAGCAACTGGAATAAACAGCAAATACTTAGTACATTTCAATTTGTTGTCTTGTAATATGAATTATAACATATGTAACTAATACATACATTTTAATATGTACATTTCCACTGAAGTGACTATACGCTTCCCTCGTATCATAATTTCACATAACTCGGAAGCATTACGATAACGGGCTTTGTAAGACAAAATTTAAATGTGCGCTGTATTTCAAGCAAATAAATCTATACTGCCGTAACTCATGCATTCAATCAACGTCCGGACAACCCACAATTCAGTAGACAGAATTAACCGTCAATATATAGAAAACGGAATGGAGTTCAGATATATCGGGCCATTCGATAACTCGAAATTGATGTAGGCCTGCGGCGAAACCAAGATTGGACTTTGGAGGCACGCCCACAAGACACAAATCCTTCTAAACACCCGAAGGCTCAGACGTCTCATGAACCCCGTTTGATCCTATAATATTATAGATTGCTCATATGAATCTGTTCTTCACGTGCATACATGTACCGAACATTTCCATTGCTTCTGTGCAATGCTGGTAAAGAAACTACATATAGACGTTCATTGAATCGGTAGAAATATTTTCTTCTACGTAATTTTTTATACAGCCAATTCAACTTTCAAATGCATTGTTTTTCCTTCTTGTAAGCAGTATTTTCTAAAGCATAATTATTTTCCTGTTTTTTTTCTAGATAGGTCCAGTAAAACAGGAGCACGACGCTACAAAAGCCCTGTAGCCATCAATATTTACATTGAAAAATTATTTTTTATTTGATTATTTGATATTATTTTACACCCCCAGTTCAACATGTAATTTTAGTGGTATTAATATACTATTATTTAAAAATATTTTGAAATGATTCCCTCAGTTTACACTTCTATCTCGATCAATACCCGATGTACGCAGTTTCGAGCCCCAGGCAAAAAATTGTTTTTAGATTAAAAAAAAAAAAGATTTGAAGAACATTTACATTCTATTACATTTCGCCGATCTGGATAGCGGGGAAGCAAAGGAAGACGCGCGTTAGCAGTTTTGAGTCAAAGGGTTAGAATCTCGCTTCTGGCATGGATATCAGCTTGTGAGCTGTGTCATGGTGAGAGGGGAGACACGTGATTAAATTCGCTGCTATCCGGGAGACGCCGCGTCTTTGGCTGCGGTGCCGACGTTTCGCCTGACATGTCGCAGGCTTCTTCAGGGCAATGACGAGGAAGGTTCAGACCTCAGGTCACTGCCCACTGAGGAAGCCTGCGACATGGCAGGCGAAACGTCGGCACCCCAGCCAACGACGCGGCGTCTCCCGGATAGCCGAGAATTTATGGATTCGAGCCGCGGAAGCTTACGTATACATGCGACACATGATTAATTTTGTTTAGTACAAATGATGTATTTTATATAAAGATAAACTAAATTTTGTAACAATAATGTAATGAAGAAATGAACAGCGAATTCGTTGTACGAAGACTGCAAATTAATGGTAAATGCAATCCAACATCAGACTCTTATCACGACTTACAAACGACAAACGCTCAACATTATTTATTCATAATTCTATTTTCTCTTATTTTACTATTTTTTGTGAAAATCTCCATCTGACTTTCAGAGACGTAGCGACCCAGTCTGCCTATGCCTACTGCCGGCAATGAATCAGAGAGAATGTGATAAAGTTATATTGAATTTAATGTATTCTGTAATATTTTTATATTAATAATATTATTAGTAAATTATATTCCAATGTTCATTGTCAGTTCACTGTGAGAGAAGCATGGGCGGATATCATGAGCTTATTCGGTAATAGGTGAGTTTTACGCAAATCAAGAGCATTGGTACAAGGCGAAGATGAGGAAAATATAGTAGACACACACATTTGAGGAATTATTGAGTTTTGAAAATGTGTGAAAAACACAGAAAATTAGTCAATGATGACAATACGATAGAGTTATCGTCAAATCTTGTTGCGATACATCCATAGCAAATACGAACGTGGGTCTGGAAGGGTCCATGAATTTAAATAGGTCCAAATGTTGCTTCCTATTTAATATATTCGTCAACGAATGTAACACATATATCCCATTCCATTATTAATGCTTAAATATTCTACAACAAAACGCAATGTTTCATTTTATCTGATCGAAATCTAAATGAAACACTTCCACACAATTAGTCACTTCACTCGTTGGACTAGCAGACACAAACGTTTCCAGAGAAACCGTGGAGCTAATTGCAAGTAAAATTGTAATTACGCGCAGAGCAAAGTTGTTGGGTGCAAAATTACCGCTGCAAACTTTTTAATTACAGATTGGCATAGCCACCGGAGCACAAAATGTTTATTTACATTTTCGTCTTTTCATGGAAATAAGTAAAACGGCACGAAGTTTGTAAGGGGCATCAAGAGAGAAACAGAAACGAGAACTGACAGAAATTCGCCTCATTCCGAATGCCCGATGAGCGCGAGTTGGCGAGGGCGGGTTGCGCATCTGGAAATCGTTCGATGTCCCACGCAGCGCAACCGACTTGGGAGCAGCCTCGCGGCTGCACGCAACCGCGCGCGGTGCCCCCGAACACCGAATCCGCGCGGCCGAAACCTCAAATCACACCACGTCATCCAAGTATCCGAAACGGTGGTATGGCGTGGTCGTGTTTGTCATGGAGGCGGCTTGCGGTGTGGCACTA